GGATATCCTGAGCCTGGAATATCATGGATACCAATAGGGGAAGTGGTGCTATAACTGTATAATAAAACAGAAATATTACCACTAGCTATTGCTGATAATTCAAACACAATGGACATAGATATAATCACTTGGTTGTATACAGCACCTTTGAATATCTGCCTTTTGAGTGTATGCCAAAAGTTGAACAATAAGAGCTTTAGTGTGTGTGTGTGTGTGTGTGTGTGTGTGTGTGTGTTTGTGTGTAGACAGATACTTTTAATAACTTTTTCATTGGATTGCCCATAAAGTACTGTATGCCGTACGTAAAAAAGAACCACAGCACTTTGAACCTCCCCTGTTCTGCCCCTAACTCCTCTACCACCACCACCCACAAGGCATGTGACCAATACTATGCATTTGTGACAAATGCTATGCATGCTATGCAGCATACACTTTAATGGCTGCAACAAATAAGTATGCATATTACAAGTCAAATGGGAGTTCATTTTAGAAAAGGAAAACAAGGGGAAATAGCAAAATAGCCCTGCTGACAAAGAGTAGCTATGCAGTAAGCCAAAAGAAGAGGTGTGTAATACCCAAGTTGCTTTCTAGCTTCAAGAAACCCATTCCACATTGTCCTGTCTTGCCAAGGGAGCAGAGACCACATAACACCGGTCTTGAAAGACCTACATTGACTCCCAGTACGTTTCCAGGCACAATTCAAAGTGTTGGTGTTGTCCTTTAAAGCCCTAAACGGCCTTGGCCCAGTATACATGAAGGAGCGTCTCCACCTCCATCGTTCTGCCCGGACGCTGAGGTCCAGAGCCAAGGGCCTTCTGGCGGTTCCCTCACTGCGAAAAGCAAAACTACAGGGAACCAGGCAGAGGGCCTTCTCGGCAGTGGCACCCACCCTGTGGAATGCCCTCCCATCAGATGTCAAAGAGATAAACAACTACCTGACATTTAGCAGACATCTGAAGGCAGCCCTGTTCAGGGAAGTTTTTAATGTGTGACATTTTAATGTATTTTTAATCTTTGTTGGAAGCTGCCCAGAGTGGCTGGGGAAACCCAGCCAGATGGGCGGGGTACAAATAATAAATGATTATTATTATATGTTTGTTGTGGAGGATTCTGGGTAGCATTGTAGGCGACACACTCCATTGGAGGACAGCACACTCCATATGCCATGGATGCTTTGGCTGAGATTCCTGCATTTCAGGGGGTTGGACTAGATGAACTTCAGAGTCCCTTCCAACTCTACGATGCTATTATCATTTGCAGAAGCTAACTGAGCCGGCATTTGAATATTACATCGACATGATGATGTTGGCCCTGTCTTCCTCCACATCTAAGGATAGCAGGCTACTTTAGGAGCCACAGCTACAGGCCATGGGGCCCACAAAGCTCTTTCCTCCAATGCGTCATTCACCACTCCCAGATCTACCAGCATCTACTCTACCCCAAGCCACACTGCTCTGCCGAATGGCAGGTCTGGTCCTGGGTCTCAGCACAGCACTTTGTGAACCAAGAGAATGCCCTAGAACACTGGTCTTCAACTGATGGGCCGAGACCCGCTAGCAAGTCACAACAGGATATGTGGTAAAAAGATTAAGAAATGGGTCACCCAACACAGAGTTAAAAGTGGGGCCAGGATCTGAAAAGATAGAACATGCACTGCAGGAGAGTCTAGGTGATGGGGGCAAGATGACCAAACATCCCAGGAAACCCAAACTTCTCCAGAAGACCACTGGAAAACCACTGGGCTAAAATTATTGTGTTGTAGAAACAAATGCAGGAGTGTGGCTCCACATTTCAATCGACACCTCTTTCCTCTTATTGAAACAAGTCTGCCATTCATGAGTGACGAATTTATTAATGATCCTCTGAAAGCATTTAAATTTAAAGATCACATCCATTTGTTTTCATTTTTATTTGTTTTTGGCTGGAAAACCAAAAATACAAATCTTACAGCTGTTTGGTAAATGAAATCTTAGAATACAGCTGCCCATTTATAGTGCAGCAAATCTACTGATTCACATTTTTCTCTCTCCAATTTTTACTTCTTGGTGAAAATTAGTACAAATAGGGGGGATCCATATCTCCCCCCCCCCATTAGAGTCACTATTTGGGATAAAGGGACCTTACAATGCCTGAATAACTATGTACATTCCAATCAGGTCGTTCTGACATTGCCTTTAAAAGTTTTGGAAACCTTGGCCAGGAAGCAAAGGAATGACACTTCCAAAATTAATTCCTCCTGTGTCCTCATAGATCGCCCTCAGATCAAAACAGATAAAACAGGATTTCACTGAAGTCACTTCCTGGGGCAACCTTTCCATGCAGAAATTTGTTCTCTGGCACTTCCTGTCACGGCTTTCAATCGTTCTCCAGTGTCTGCATTTGTTTTAATACATATATAAATTTTGCTGTCCTTGGCAATAAATATCACGTCTGTCATCCAGAGCTATCAATATGTCACAGAGGCTGCTTTTCCATCTCATGCGGCTGAGATGGGCTTTCAAAAATCTGGCTCCGAGCAGTCATCCCTTCTTAGCTCGAGCTGAGGAAATCTGCTACAGCCATTAGTATTACTTTGACCGTATCTGAAATTCTGACTACTGTTCTGTAGCCTCTCAGCTCACTGCTGCTCAGAGTGCAGCAAATGCCAGAATGACAATAATATCAAATAAAAAGCTGCATTTGATTAAAGTTTCAGGTAGGGCTGTCAGAGCCCTTTCCATTGGGCTGTTGCACAAAAATGCAGTGATACCGTTGGAGCTTCAATAAGCAATCAAACATTTGGCGGTACCATTGGGATCTCAGGTCTGCATGCAGAAGGGTACCAGGTTCATACCCTCCAACATTTCTCCAAGGAAAAAAGGGACATTCTATTCCACAATAATAATAATAATTTTATTATTTATACCCCACCCATCTGACTGGGTTGCTCCAGCTTACTCTGGGGGGCTTCCAACATATATAAAAACATAATAAAACTAATGTTTTAACATCCTACCATACCCTCCAACATTTCTCCAATGAAAATAAGGGTGTCCTAAGTAAGGAAAAGTGGGACATTCCAGGATCATATCAGAAACTGGGATGGCTTCTGTAAATCTGGGACTGTCCCTGAAAAATAGGGACACTTGGAGGATGTGCAGGTTCAAATCCATAGGGTGATCCTTCAATAACATAATACCACATGCAGTGGTATTATATATCACACACTAAGGTTCAATAGGTAGCATTGAACTGAGGACACTGGTGGCGCTGTGGTCTAAGCCTCTTGGGCCTGCTGATCAGAAGGCTGGTGGTTCAAATCCGCACGACAGGGTTGCTCCATCCCAGATCCTGCCAACATAGCAGTTCGAAAGCATGCCCGTGCAACTGGATAAATAGGTACCGCTGCAGCAGGAAGGTAAACGGTGATTCCATGCACTCTGGCACTCATCATAGTCCTCTGTGTGCCAGTAGTGGTTCAGGCATGCTGGCCACATGACCTGGAAAGCTGTCTGGAGACAAACGCCAGCTCCCTGTGAGTGAGATGAGCACCGCATCCCATAGTCACCTTTGACTGAGCTTACCGTAACTGTCCAGGGGTCCTTTACCTTTTCCTATTCAACTGAGTTTTACTCAGAGTTGACCCATTGTGCTACAATTCCAAAAGTAGTTGAGCAACCAATCCCTCTTCCCAGGGAACTCTGGGAGTTGTAGCTCTGTGAGAAGACTAAAGGTAAAGGTAAAAGGGCCCCTGACAGTTAAGTCCAGTCGCGGATGACTCTAGGGTTGCGGCACTCATCTCACTTTATTGGCCAAGGGAACCAGCGTACAGCTTCCGGGTCATGTGGCCAGCATGACTAAGCTGCTGTGGTTTAGACCACAGCACCACCCACGTCCCTTGTGAGAAGACTAGAGGATTCCTAATAACTCTCAGCACCATTAACAATCCACAGTTCCCAGGATTCTTTGGGGGAATACATGGCTGCTTATAGTGGGGTAATACTGCTTCAAATATATAGTGCAGATGGGGCCTAACTTGGGAATAAGTCTCACTGAACTCAACGGGGATCATTTCCAAGTAAGTATGTACAGATCTGCTGTATTTGCTTGCACCACAACAGTGACAAGGGGAAGAAGAGTTTATTACTTGCTCCACCAAGTGTTCTTTAAGCATCACACTAAATTGCATACAATCTCAGAAATAAAGGGAGAAACCATATTTTTCCGCCTCAATGATACACTCACAAACAAAGAAGTGTAGGAATTGCTTGCTGCAACGCCCGAGTTTAGTGAGCCTCAAAACTGAGCTGTTCATACATTCAAGTCTAATCTATATATGATAGATAAGCAAACGTTTTGATACATGGTCTGGCAAATGCAGTGTGAAAGCTGATATTTATACAGTAGTAGGATAACAGTACAATAAAAGCAGCAAAGTGCATGATGTGATAAAGATTTGCATTAAGATATGAAGAGTTCCTCCCCTCTCTTGGAAAAGTTGGCGGTTTAGAGACGTTAGTCATTCAGCATCTTATTATAAATAGTCACTGGGAGTTGTTTGCACATCCTGTCACAAATGTGTGGTCTTGAGAATCTTAGCAAAAAAGAACAACAAATAACCTATGCCCAAATGAAGCTATGGTTTTTATTAGCTATCTTTCTCAGCAGAAGATCTAGCCTCCCATTCCTGCCAGTAGCATTTTCTGGGATGGCTCAGTCATGGGGCCCTTAACCTCAAGGCCAAGCCCCATGTTGGGCAGAGGATTCCTCAGGGTCTCCTCCAATTCGACAACTGGAAGAGTGTATGAGTGTAATGTTTACTTTTGGAGGGTTATTGACATATAGGAGCACCAAAAGCTGCCTTATACGAAGGCAGACCACTGATCCGTCTTGCTTACACACCAACAGGCAGTGGCTCCCCCAGGGTTTCAGACAGGAATCTTTTTTCCAGCCTTAGTCAAGAAGCCAGGGGTGGAACCTAGGACCTTCTACATGCAGAGCATGTGTTCGGCCACTAACCAGGAACTTGGCTCAGTGGTAGAACATCTGCTTTGCATCCAGAAGGTTCTAGCTTCAATCCCCGGCATCCCCAGATAGGGCTAGGAGAGACTCCCTCCTCGAAATCCTGGACACTGCCAGCCAATGTAAACAATACGAAGCCATTGGAGTACAAGACCCCTCTTCCATGGGCAAAACAGAACCAAACACATAACACTTATGGGAACTCATTATTACTTTACAGAATAGTGTCCTGAACCCGTGACCTACCTGGTAGCAAGTCTGTATGCCAAGTCCAAAAGATGGACAATCGAGAAGCATAGTCTAGGGTCAATCCGCAAGTCCAAAGTCTTTTCAAGGTCCTTATCTAAATTGAGATCCCTCAATGTGAGCAGTTGAGCAGACACAGCACCTCAGCTCTGCTTCCCTTTTGTACTTTGCGTGCTGATTGCAGCATCTGGGCTTGATGAGGCATGTGACCCTCACCTGCTCCAGCTGAGAAATCACACACCTCCTCCCAGAGCTAGCGAGCCCCACCTGGCCAGCTAGGGAGCTGAGCTGTGGGCCCTTGCCTGCCTCAGACTCCTAGAGTGCCTCTCCTGCTGCTCCTTCCACCGTGTTTGGGGAGATAGGGGCCCCTCTGGATCTGAAAATGGGTCCTGCTGCTCTGGTTCCTGTGCCCTGACCCCCATCTGCTCACCCCATAAGTGCTTCTTACACCCACATCTCCATCCCCATCCCCAGCTTGCCCTGGTGTCTCCCAGTCCTGGCTACGCCCCTCACTGGGATCCTCGTCCCTGCTGCCCTGCCAGTTCATGACAAACAGTATCTGGATTTTTTGCTGTCACAATTTAGAAAGGTTTTTGTGCTTCCGTGCTCCAATATCTTATGGACTGCCTCTCTGCACATGAGCCTACCCAGAGCCTGTGCCCATCATCTTAGGCCCATGACAGGTGCAGAAGGAGGCAACCTGAGATGGAATGCTCTCTCCAGAGAGGTGTTGACTGGTACTTGGAGGCAGTGATGGGCTGGACATTGGCCAATAAACTGAAGCTGAACTCTGAAAAGGCAGATGTGTTAAGTGTCCTGAATTGTCACCTCTGGGAAGTGGGGAGGCAGCCTGTTTTGGATGGGGCTGCAGTCCCTTAGAAGTAGCAAATCCAGGGCTGCTCCTGGATTCAGCACTGTCATTGGAGGCTCAGGTGGCATCTGAGGCAAAGAATTGCCTTTTTCCAGCAACAACTGGTTCACCAATTGTGGCCCCTTTTGGACAGAAATGACCTGGCAAATGAACTCCATGCTCTAGTAACTTCCAGGCTGGATTACTGCGATGTGCTCTATGTGGGGCTGCCCTTGAGGACAGAAATTTCAATTGGTCCAAAATGCAGCAGCCAGATTACAGACTGGAGTCCCATTTAGTTCTCACATAAGGCCTGTTTTAAAACTGTTGCACTGGTAGCCTGTTTGTTTCCGGGCCCAATTCAAGATGCTCAATTTAGGGGCCAAAGCCCTAAAAGATTCAAGCTTCCAATATCCAAAAGACCACCTTCTTTCCTACAAACCCTCTTGGGCCTTAAGGTCAGCAGAGGAGGCCCTCTCAGTAATTCCCTTCCCTTCAGACGCTTGAGAATTTGTGGGCCGGGAGAGAGCAGCCCCTAAGTGTGGAATTTCCTCTCCAGGTACATTGAGAATCTTCACTTTTAAACTTTGCACTCTGTTTTTACGATTGTAAGTCCCTCTGAGATTAAAGCATAGTAAGTGATGAATAAATGCAAATAATATTTCACATTATAATACACTAAATCCCCTTCAGCTCTGACATATTGATTCAGAATCATACTGTACAGAATGGACAAGGAAAACTTTGGGGGCAGGGGGTCTTGGGGGGGGCTATCATCCATTTTAAATTGGCCAGTTTGACAATTGCACCCAAACAGACAGACAGTCGTGATTCTCATGCATGCAGTGTCGGAGCTTCATGCATGTGTGGGGCGCCGCCCACAGAGGCGTGGCGTATGTCCTGGGGCAGGGCACACTGCCTGCAGGGGCATGGTGCCCAGCACAGGCAGAGGGGCAGCCGCGATGGCACCCTACTGGGATCACGCTGCTGGGGGCGGTGCGCTCCCCCCGCACTCCTCTTCCTCCGCCAGTGCATGCATGCATGCACAAGCATACATTATTTCTGTTTTGCACACTATTCTAGATCAATTCAGCTTCTCTTCTGTAATCACCATGTTGTCAGACGTGTCATATAGACTGGGCTTGGGCCCCTAGTTTCCAGGATTTCAAATCATATGCCAAATCATCATCATCATCATCATACCCTGCCCATCTGATGGGGCTGCCCCAGTCACACTGGGTGGCTTCCAACAGAGTATAAAGGAACACACGAAACATCAAACATTAAAAGCTTCTTGCCACAGGGCTGCATTCAGGTGTCTACAGAAGGTTGTATAATTGGTTATCTCTTTGTCATCTGATGGGAGGCTGTTGCACAAGGCGGGCACCACCACCAAGAAGGCCCTCTGCCTGATTCCCTGTAACCTCACTTCTTGCAATGAGGGAACCTGATGTTTCAGGAAGGCCTATATCCTTGCCCTCTAGCTCAGCCTCCCTTCCCCAACCAAACTGTCACTCTCGCATGCCAGGATCTCTGTTATCACAGCAGTAATATGTAAATTCCACCCACCACAGCTGACCCTATTAGCGGAAGAAAGTGACGACAGCTCATTTCTTGTTTTCCATTTAAATTGGCTCTGCTTTTTTAATGTAGACTTTTAAAGTAGACTCTGTAATCAGAATCTGTACACAAATAAAGCTATTAGTAAGGTAAGCAGTGAAATGCAGAAAATGCAGCAATGCCAGCTACACGGGGGGTGGGGGTTGAAACAACAAGAAGTAGCCACACTCTCTAGAAAATTTTTAAAAAATTACACACTAACTATTATTCAAGTGCAAGGTAAACATGACAAATCTGACTAGCTTTTGAAGATATCAAGCAGTTTCGCCATTACCACATAATAGGTTTTGAAAGTGTTGCCTGGCAGTTCAGTCGCAAATCCCAGAGGAAAGTCACATTACCAATGTGTGAACATGAAATTTCAGTGTTCCATTCATGGGGCTTTGTTAGCATTTTTAGGGCATGTCGACTCTGAAGTATTTTCATGGGATTTGTACTAGCAAATAACGCTAGCAGTGTGTGCATTCTGCACCTAGCTCTTTGTTCTGTTGAGATTTGTTCTTCACTTCTGGCTTTTAAGCACTGGAGCTAGTCCTGGCTGTATGAGGGAAGGGCGGCAGCTCCACAGCAGCAGCTGCTTTGCACGCAGAAGGTCCCAGTTTCGATCCTAAGTATCTCCAGGCAGCGCTAGGAAAGATGCTTAAAACTCTGGAGAGCTGTTGCCAGTCAGTGGAGACCATTCTGAGCTATCTGGACCAACGGTGTGACGCAATATGAGGCAGATTCCACATTCCTCATAAGTGGGAACTAACTTTACTGCAGTGTCTCTATGCAATGCTACAGAGAGTCTCTTCATTTTACGAGCCTTTTTAATAATATAATCTCCATGTTGAGTAGAAGATGATGGAGACAAGAAGAGGAGATGACTGCTTCAAGAATGGTCTTCTTATGAGCATTAAAAAGGCATCTAATTCACAACTTGCTGAAGTAGTTAGGTGCTAGGCCTCGTCCAACACAGGAATTACTATATCAACTGGATCATGCAGCAGTTGAACAGCATCATCCATCTCATTGAGGCTAGTACAGACTCATTAAGACCAATGTGGACTCTGGTGGCTTATTACATACGATTAGAGGCCACATAAAAGGAGAGTGCTTCCTACAGTTCTGATGCTCTGCCAATCCATATGGTTAGCGTGAACAACTGGGATTAGCATAGGCTGGGCAAATTGCATGTCTGGCCACACCCTACTAGGGTAGAGAAGAGGTGTCTGTCTTTTTCTTGGGTGTTCCTGCTCTCCAAGTTAGGAAAACAACAATGCTCAGCTGTGAGTGCATGCAGATGCCATTTGAACATGACCAAGGTAGCAGGTCCAGCCTAAGATATTTTGTTGCCTGAGGCAACAGACAATATGGTTCCCCTCTCCATTCCACATGCAGAAGCTGAATGGACTGTCTGTTGAATCTTGTCTAACACTAGCAGCAGAAAAGTGTCCTCCACCACACCAGAGAGCAGTAGGTTAGTTATGAGGGACACACAGAACAACACAGCCAGGAGGCTCAGGAGGAACAGCTGGGAGGTTGCCCTGCTGCTCTTCCCAGATTTGCTGCCTGGGGTAGTTGCAGCGCTCTACCTAAAGGTAGGGACAGCCCTGCAAAGTTGGTTAAGTAATGTAACTAAAATTACATTCAGAATAAATGTTCCTCCAAAAAACGCTGTGATATTTTTTTTCCTGAGCAAAGAAGCTTGTAGATATATAAATTCTTCATTTAAGGGGCCTGCAACACAGAGAGGAATCTTAGCCTTAAGTCTCCAGGCATGCTTTCAGTCAAAACCTTTTCAAATCAAGAGAGACCGAGACAACAAATACTTGCCATTACACTTGTCTCTGCCGAACAGTTTGGCATAGCCCTATTCCCCATGACAATGGAGGCTGAGGGAAAGAAACATGTTGGTTGGAAACAGCCAAAAGCTGTCAGCAGCAGCTACTGTCAATACTCATCAGCGGGGGAGCTCACTTCTGTTGCTTTGTCATCATTCATTGCTGATTTACTTTCCCGAAAACACATGTTGAGTGGAACCTTTTCTGAGTGCAATAAGGGTGTTTCACAAATTTGTTTTTGACCTGCACCTTCTCCCCGGGTTCTGCTGGAAACGTTTTAATTGATTTTACTTAAGGCATTTCTAAACCACCCTTCATGAACATTTACTCCAGGGCAGTTTCCAATGACTATTTAAAGTCCAAAACTGGAATGTACATCCCACCCCCATATTTGGAACTACCTCCCTTGAGAACGTCACACATCCCTCTCTGATTTTAAAATTATTATTTTGTCAGATTTTATTTTTTGCTTACCGCTTTTTAATCTTGCTTGTTTTGAAATGTATTATACTGCAATGTATCGATCCTAGT